TCAAAATTATCTTTTTTTAAAATTTTGATTTTAAACACTTTGCTGAGCTATACATATACAGGATCCAGCCGAATAATATGTAAAATGAGATACATTATTTCTTAATAAATATAGAATACAATTTTTCATTCTCAACTTAGTTTACGAGAGAATCGAATTTGAAAATTTATCATAAGTATACTTTAAATTTACTTAAGTATAAGTATACTTAAGTATACTTAAAAATTTATCATAAGCAAAAAGTTATTCTACGCGTGAAAATGCTTTGTTTTCGATAAAATCTAGACATATTTAGTTAGAAATCGGCCTAGTATATGCATATAATAAATCTTCAAATTTATCTTCTTGAAAATGAAGCCTTAAACAGAAAAATTGTATACATTTTTTCTTTATTTTCGCTGTCTCCGCTTTTACATGTTATTTGGTTGGACCCTGTATAGTCAATAACTTTCTTCTATTAACTAGAAGGGAGAACTTAAATGATTTACATATAAAAATGTACTAGGAGACTCTTTGTAATCAATTTACCGACAACTTAAGCTCAATTAATTTGAATTTGGCGTTAATTAACTATATAATAATTTATTTGAATAAATGATTTTTGATTGGAAGTGTCACTCGCAAATGTTTAATTATCCGAAACGTTAAAGCGGACAAAAATGATACGAAATATATATTATCCTGAAATTTCTCGGTTGATGTAGAAACGCATAACGTTAAAAGTCAAAGAACCAATTAACGTAGAGTCAGTCTGGAGAGTAGGAGAGCCCGTTGGTTCCAAGCGGGGAGTACTCTAAATCGTCGATACTCGTCGCGTCGATAGTGCGAGCACACCGACACACTGATACATTCGCGTAATCCCTGTCTCTCTCCTCTCGTCCGGCGTGGCATCGCATTGTCGGCGCAGACGCCGTGGCAACGCTTATTGATCGCGGTTGTGTGTGGTGCTCGGTGTCTCTGCACGCGTCATGCGTCGTCGTCTTTCGCGACGTAGCGGCGGTGCCGGGCAGTAGAATATACTCGTGTTCCGTCTTGTCCGCTAGTACGAGGCAGCCAATAACGACGGTGCTTGTGACAGCAGACGTGTCGTATACCTTCGATACGTCGTAGTGCGCGTAGTTCGCTCGGATGATTTTAGAGATCGCGACGACGATCGACGACAACGGGATGCGATCGAGAAACGCTGCGACGGCGATCGGAGTGTAAATCGTACGGCCGCCTGGTCCATAGAGTTACCGCTAGGAAACGGGACTCCTCCTCGGGTCGACGAAAACGTATCGAGGATCGGAAAGCCACCACTGGTAGTAAGCTTGGCAGGTGGTTCTCAAACGATATCGCAACCGTCCTTTTTCCACATTCAGTGAAAGTGATCGGCGGTGAAGCGTTCTCGAGTTGGCCGGATGCTCGGCCGACAGGTGCGTTCGTAGAGGCTCGCTCGG